TTAAGGCACATTATAATCGTCTCTTTGCTTGACCACATTTTCACGAACTTTTAATTTTTGCAAAATAAAAGTAAACCTCTCCAACCTGTGAATATTTAAGTAAGTTACCCTATGTTTTCTTCATAGTAGTTTCACAAGTTAGTTGCTATCAAAATATTTTATTTCAATTTTTTTCCAGTTGATAAATTTTATTTTTTTGTTTTGCTCTGTTTTGGCATTATTTAAAATGTTTATGTATCTTAACTAGCTGGTCAAGATTCACTTACAAATCTGAATGCCACGAACCGCGAAAGCTTAGCAGCTAGCGAAAGGCGCCATGTGCGGCGCTGGACCTGGACGCGCAAAGCGACGCGGCCGGATCCTGCGCGCGCCTGCAGCCCGGTGCGAGCGAGCGAGCGAGCGCCCGCGGCCTCGGAGCAGCCCTGCGCGTGACAGCCGCCGTGCACCGGCCGCCTGGGCGGCGGGAAGAGAAGTTCTGCCTCAGCCAGCGGCCGCAGGCACAGCCAGGCGGGTGGCGCTCCTGGGCTGCCGGGGTTGCGCCGGCCGCGCTCGCGGTGGGCTCGGGACAGGACGGCGGCGTGCAGCGCAGCGCGGGGTGTCGGTCGCCAGCAGACGCGCGCGGCAGCCCGCGGGCAAGAACACCGCGCTGCTCGTGTTTCTATGCCGGCAGCCTGTGACTTGGCTCGGCCTGCTGTGCCGGTTCAGCTCAGGTAGCTTTTCTCTTTCACGGTGTCCAAGTCAGTGCTGCGCTGGGAGCCCCGACGGGCGCCGCCCTCAGCCTCACCCTCCTTTCCTGTGCCCTCCCGCAAGCAAGCAAGCGCGCCGTCCCCGCACAGGTGCTCATGGTTACAGGGCGTGTGTCACAGCGGGCCCTCCGCTGCAGCCGCGCTCCCGCGCTTTCTACAGAAGTGTGCAATGCTTTATCGCACAGGAAACAGGAACAGGCCTGTTGTTTCTCTTTTATTTCGGACCCTGGGCACAGACAGTATTGAATTTTTAAAAATTCATCTGTGTCAGGCTAGGCTAGGATATGATCTATGAGTTGTTACAAAAGGGAACAACAGGGATATCACATGGTGTTCGTCTAGAAAAGGGAAGACTGGGTCCACTAGAGCCTGAGCGGTCACTGCGCTCAGGCAGTCTGACCCTCCACACATGCAGCCAGGAGTGCTGGATTTGTGGCTGTTGCGGGATACGTCTGCACTCCAAAGAGTGGTCCTGTCACCCCCAAAAGACTTTATTTATTTATTTAATTATGTATGTATTTTAGGGAAGGGTCTACAGGGTGTTCAGGATCTCACTACTAGCTCAAACTCGTAGTGATCCACTTGTTTACAGCCTCCCAAGAGCTGGGATTACAGGCATGTGCCACCACACCCTGTCTCAATCTCAGCCTCAACGCGCCCCCGGGGGTGGGGTCGGCACAGCAGGCCCGAGATGGAACCCCTGGCCCCTGAGCTGGCTTGCAGGAGATTTAATGCATTTAAACATCCGAGAGTACTGGATTATGTCTTCTAGTAGATGTGTACAAGCAAAAGTTGGGCACCTGGCTCCACAGGCTCCTGCTGTCCCTGTCAGGCCACTCAGGCACACAGCTCCACTCTCTCACCCACAGACGGAGCTCGTGACCATGCCCCACACACACCTGGAAGGGCGCTCCAACTGCATCAGCGTCAGCTCTCTGGGAAGAGGAAGCCAGTTGCTTCTGCAATTCCAAAGTCGACGACTTCCATTTATCCTTTAAACGAACTACTTAATGAAGGTAGGTGTCATTGGAAAGGCCTTAAAATAAAATATGGATCATTTTTATAATTAAAAAAGTTAATGATTTCAAAACTATTTTATGCTTAATGCAAAAAATTTAGAAAGTTGGAAAATACTAATAAATAAAAGATTAATTACTTCCCGTTTTTAACATATTGGCATACTTTTTCCAGGCTTCCATATTCATCAACATCTAGGTGCACATAGTCATTCATTTTGTTGTTCATCCATTCGTGATGCTATAGGCAATATTCTAGGTGTCTGGGATTGTTGACGTCTGGCCGAAGATGTCTCCTCCCCCAGCCCATATATTTCACTCTGTTAGGTGCCCAGGTAACAGTTCTGATTACAGTTCCTGTTACTTTTGTTTCCTACAAAGGGCCAGTCACTACGATGCACAGCTGGTCACTG